ATTTCCACCGATGCGATGCGTATGGGCGTAAAGGTTTTTTAATATAAGAATATTTTATTACACTACGAACAACTATTAATTTAAATTAGTTTAAAACTATAGTTATATACAGTACCAGTCATATATATACCTATATATGTATGTATATTAGGGAGTTTCATTTAAAACGAAAATTTTTTTTTCTTGCTGACACATGAAAATTTTGTTTTTTAGGTTGAAAAAAAATTCCCTGAAAATTTGAGCCCTTAATTTTGATTCTAAGTACTTCCTTTTTAATTTTGTAGTTTTTCCATATAAAAAGCATGTATTTTTAATCATTTTTACTTTAAATTTCTATATTTTGGCCTGGTTTTGAATTATAATTTTTATCACCATAATTTTCTGCATAGTATTCACGGTTTTTGAAAGGCCCTGCATCAATTTTGTTTTTGATTTATTTACGTTGATTGTAGTAGCTCCAAAAGTCGTTTTTTCACTCTTTTCACATATTTTTGAGAAAATCGAGCGAATGACTGGTTTTACCGAAAAAGTTCAAATAAAAAAGTTGTAGGAAATTTAATTTTTGACAAAAAAAGTTTTTACGTTCATATCACTAAAGTGCTTTGTTTAAGAGATATAAGCAATATATAGTTGTTGAATCAAATTACATAAATTTCAATAAAGCCTATTTTTTCTTTGTTTTTGGTTATTAAATTGCTAAATATGTATTATGTTCCTATACGACCTACAAAAAAATAGTGAGAAGCCAAAGATTTTGAGAAAAAAGGTTGGTTTAAAAAAGTTTTGAGCTACATCTAAAATTTTTTTATCTGTTGAAACTCAAATACTTTAGACTTATTTTTTTTATTTGATCTCCAAAATCAAAAAACTTCGAAAAAATACTACAACCCTAATGTTTATGGTTAAATAAAATCCTTTTGTTAAGAAGTGACATTTCTTTGAATTTATTATATAGGTAGGGGCGGAAAATTTTTATTAGACCCGGGGCGCAAATTTTTATAATCCGGCGCTGCATTACGGCACAACAATTTTTTGAACGTGAACTTGTCTGGATTGGTGTCATGGAGGTTATACTTTCGGCTGCTTTCTTATTTTTGTTCCGAAGCTGGACGCTCTCAGAAAGCCCAGCTAACTATTGATCAAACTGCTTAATCGTTTTAGAAAAGAACTGACTAGAACAATTGTTAAATAGAGTCAAAGAATTTAGAATATTGAGCTCTATTTGTGGGCTTGGTTTATGTAAGATATTTAATATTTTTAAGAGCACTTAGTAGCCTTTAGCCTTTGCATTTTTTGACAAGAGTATCTACAAAAACTAAACAAAGAATGGTAAAAAACCTAAAGCGTTCAGGTCGCATTGATTTAACTAAGGAACATGATCTCACAATAGACTGAATATTACACCGTACAACACAAAATTGCCCGCATCGATGAAACTTGAAAAATCGGATAGAAGACGATAAAAAAAAAGACTCGTGTATCGGCGATTTTTTTGTACACGTCAAATTTTTTTTTTATTTGGTTTTGAAACACAAAATTTAAAGATAATTCGTAGAAAGTTTCCATACTAAATATTAATGTTATTTTTTTTTATTCAAGCTTACAAATGTTCTTAAAGGGCATTTTAAAGAACTCTTACATAATCATAAGGCTGTAACTACTTTATTATTACGTCCATAAAATTTTAATACTCAAAAGTAAAAAAAAAACAATACTACCTTATAAATTGTTTTAACGCTGAATACAATTAAACAAAATGTCTGATATTATTTAGTTTAATAAAAATATTTGATACAACTCAATTATTTTTAAAATTTTGGCCTTTTATTTTTTTTTTAGTAAATTTGTTGCCGTTTCATGACAAAGTGACCAACAGTATTCACCGAGCATGTGCACCAAATTTTTACCTTTAAATCTAGCTTCGATTAAAGCTATGTCTTGGTGGAATCTTTCTCCATGTTCATCACTGTAATCACCCATATTATTTTTGAAAAAATCTAGAAGATTATGCAAAAAATGAATTTTTAATGACATTAATACTCCCATATTGCCATACGCAGAGATCATTTTTTGCACAATTTCTATATAATTTTCAGCTCGATTGTTACCAAGAAAGTTTTCAAAGACATTAACCGCAGATGTCCAAGCTTCTTTTTCAACTGGGTTTACAGATTCAACTTCAATGGGATTACAGATTCAACTTCAACGTAGGCGATTTTTTCGCGGTGTTCATATTTATAACCAAAGCTCCTTGTTTCGTTCAGACAAAAGTAACACAATTCCGGAGAATGCTCTTTACGGGGTAACCAAATAGTAGGTATTTGGTATTTACTACCGGGTTGTTTGTCATTATTTTTACATAATGACCTATAGCAGTACGTGCATACCACTTCGGGAGCGTACCATAAGTACGGAACGTAATTGGTTTTAAACTGTCGCTGAAACGAAAGAACTAAGGTTTTGGTTATATTACGAACATGTTTCACAGTTACATATAAACCACAAACATAACAAAATTTATTGCGATTAGGACACTCCATTTTAATTCTCAACGAACAAAACTATAAAAGGTGCAGTTTAATAAAAATCGTACTTTTATATGCGTATCATTTAGAATCTAAATTTTAGATTAACAAACCCACAGTGTATATACAAAAAAACAAAATTGTTTTTACGTTTAAACGTTGTTTTTAACCAAGAATACATAAATGCTCAAAATAATAGTTATCATACGAATTTTTAAGATTTATTTTTTAATTTTTCCTTTAATCTTTTGAATTACCAATTTTACATATTCCCTGTACATTATATAACATTTTTCCTAATTTTTAATACCTTTTCAATAATATGGTTCACAGCAAAATTGGTATATTTTTTTTAAAAACAAAACATATTAAATGCTCGTAATTAAAAACTTTAAAGTGAAAAAAAAATTTTTTTTGACGTGTACAAAAAAATCGCCGATACACGGGTCTTTTTTTTTATCCTCTTCTATCCGATTTTTCAAGTTTCATCGATGCGGGCAATTTTGTGTTGTACGGTGTTATAGTATACTATAATACTCAGTCTATTGTGAGATTATACTCTCTAAAAATGAAATAGTCAAAATTCTACTATTTGAATTAGTACCAGCATTTTTTACTAATAAAATAGTCGTTTTCACTTTTCAATAGTTATTTTTTACTACGAAAATAGTAAGTTTGACTAATTTAAGATTAGTCACCATCTTTGACTAATTCTAACTTATTTCTTTAATCGTTTGCAGCCAACAACAATGTATTATTTGAATTAAATGCGTAAGCTCCATGGTTAAATGACCCATAAAAACAAATAAAGATGCAAAAAGTTTAGCTCAAAACAGCAACACAAATATATTCAACTTTAAAATATTATGAACAATATTTATTGACAAATAAAATTTTTATAAGAGCGGCTGATAGCCGAATGGGTTATGACAACAGATTGACAAGCTTGACAAGTGACAAACCTTAGTTCAATCCCCGGCTGGGTCAAAACTTTTAGCATCTATTAGCTGAATATAGTGTAATTTTTAATTAAAAATCAGATGTATAAGGCCTAGAGTTGCGACTTGAAAAAAAACGGTCCTTTTTTTTGTTTTAATTTTCAGGTTTTTTTCATTGTTTTTTTTTCATATTTTTGTTTTTTTTTCAAGATTAGTTCCATTTACCTAAACTGAGTTCAGATTCAGTTTCAGCGGGTGAAAATACATGGGAATATCATGCTCTTTTAATAAGACGCTTATATATTAATGTCGCAGACCACTTATTTTATTGGGGGCCTGTGTATTTGAACCAAAACAAATATTGATACAAAAATAAATTAATCTCGCATACATACGTAGGTAAAGTCAAACCCAATAAGTCTTTGATCCGATAAAGAAAAAAATAACGTGACTGCAATCTGGTCATAAACAAACATGTCCATTTTTTGTTGATTTTTTAAATTCTAAAAGTATTTTGATTACGATGGCTTATTCAGGCGTGCTAGGGAGCCCAAGAGGATATAGAAACACGCTTTATATTGCAAGCATTTGAAAAATCTGATCAGAGGGACATATTTAACTATATTTATCTACATATAGGTAAACTTATTTTCTAATTTTATATCCCACATGTTATTATTATTAATAATTTATTATTGGAACTAAACTTTTTGGTATCAATAAAATACTTAAAATTGCCATTTTAAAGCAATTAGGTATAAGTAGGTATTGGATATTGCGGTAATAAATGTTTAATGATTTATAGATTTATCAATAAAATTACAATGAATTCAGTGTTTTGAAAACCTTGTTTTTATTTATATTTTTAAATTAAATTAAATCGCTGTAAATATGGGAACGTGAAAATTTAAGAATAAAACAAGCACAAATCCATCAAACCGTTTCGGCAAATTTTCCAAACGCCGCAATCCTATTATTAATAACAATTTATAGTATAAATTATATACCTACCTATATGAAATGAATTATTCAAAAAATTCATTCCTTCTCACATCGGTGATCGTAACTGGTTTTTTTCATCTTTATTCCTTTCACGTCAAAGCAAAGGTTTATTTATTATTAAAAATCTGTATTTAATTTATGATTGTTGTTATCAACAATAATATTTACAAATATTTATTTATTTTCAGGGAAATTTAGATGCTATTCATGCACGAAACACGTGTCGTAATAGCTAATATTATTCGAAAGTAAAAATAGTTTGGTCAAAGGGCAATGCAGATACTCTGGCGCCTGGTATTTTTCAAGAAAAGCTCATCTTATCAAATAGTAAACAAAGACCGCCACTCAAAGCGTCTACTACGGAAATGCTATTGTGTGTTAATTTTTCAAGTTTGTTATTATGATTCAACGCATGTCCTTCACGAGATCTATTTTTGCTTTGGACACAACAAAGCCATTCTTCAAATTAAATTATTTCGGGTGTTCCTCTCAAGAACACCTGTTAAACATTTAAACACTCTTAAACGGTACTTACAGCATTCCAGAGCATTTGGTACAAACGAAAGATCCTATGGTAACATTCACATAAGTCGGACCTCGCTGATTGCAATCGAAACAGTACTTATTTTGTGCTAAAGATGCTAATTCACGTAGTGTCTTTAAGTTCTTTTCGTCCTGTTTTTTTCGTGATGAAGCCATCGTGTTCACTCACTACACGAAACCGTTTCAAACTCAACTGACAGCTGATCGCTTTTTGGATATTTTCTTTTGAACGTTCTCCCCTAGCGGCGACTTCTCGAATTAAAAGCCCGACGTTGCCGATACTAATCTTATTTCTCCAAAAAATGAACATTGTAAAAAGAGTTCAAAGTTTAAATTATTTATTTGGAATTTGATTATTATTGTCCACAGATCGGGTTGCCAATATGAAATATTTTATTATTTATCAAGTTTGATAAACGCAATTTTAGAAACGAATTTACTTTAGGCACGAGCGAGCTTGCGAGCAAGTGCTTAAATTAATGAATGTCTTGAAAAGTTTATAAACGAGTTGCATACTATATTTTTTCTACGACAAATACTTATTATTGTCTTAAAATGATTTAAATCAAATACCCATACAGCACAAGATGTCCAGTGGACGTCAAATGGACTTACATTGGACGTTGTTTGTATGGAGCGCCATCTATAAAACAATAGGGGAATCTGTGTTACCGTCAAATCGTTGAGTCAATGGTCAAATGTTAAATTTGTATTTATTATAAAGGTTATAAATCGAAATGTATTTCTTGAAAATCGATGAACAACAGTTTTTCACAGTGAAAGTAAAGAAAATGTTTTATGAGCACCTGACGGTGGAGTCCGAGCTCGAATTTAAGTTATATCCAGTTTACTTCCGGCGAAATTAAAACGTCAGTAGGTACAATGTTCATACCTATAACCTTTTCAAATATTGGCGTTGAGAAACTATTAATGCTTTCGTATTTTTGTTTTCGCGATAATAAAATAATTTTTACATTTAGTATTATTTTACAAAAGGGCACTTTATTTTAACGATTGAATGACATTTAACTTAAAGCTAACTTCAGCCCGTGACTAAAAACCTGTTGCTAACTTCAGCCCGTGACTAAAACGCCATAAAGCCACAACTTGTCAATGTGTATTTAAAAGGTCACTAGTAACACTAAGCTTATAAGCTTAACTATAGTGTCATGGAAACGTACGATATATTATATTTATTTGTATGTCAGTGTACTCCTGTAATTGGGCCTGGTGCCTGTTGGAAGCACATTAAAATAATAAAATAAATAATGGGCGTTTTAAAGGTGGGAGTAGAAAAGGTTTACTTAAATAAAAATAGAATCTGTTTAAATATTGATATATTTAAAGTAGTAGGTATTTTGAATATTACATTGGCCAACAGTATGATGAAGTATTTACAAATGAACTATAGCATCCGCTAAAAACTTATAGAATAGTAAATAATTAATAAATCAGTCTATGATTTTTTTCTATATTATATAAATATTGGTTAAGAGGCACTACAGCTAAATAATATACAATTAAATGAATTTAATATACAGGTGTTTCTTAAACAAAAATCTCAAGAACAAATCAAATTTAAAATAATTAAGAGACTTTGGTTCAGTACAAAGATTTTTTAACACACACAATTATTTTATACAGTCAAAATTACATTGAGTACAGTTAGAGCAGTACAAATAAAAAGTAATTTTTACAATTACCTTTTTTTATTTCCTTTGGATAATAACAAAATTTCCATTTTTGCGAAGGATTTATCGCTTTTAAATAATAAGAAACCATTTCAAGCGATTATTGAGGTTTTTAAAATGCTAACACAAAGTTTTTTTAATGACCTTAAACTTTTATAATGCTAAGTGATCTGATAATGCAACTTTTACTATTTTAAATATTCCAACATACAGATTGGGCTATTACCTTTTCTCAGATTATTTTTTGACGTTTCTAAAAACCAATAGAATATTTCAAATTCAGTCATGTATGTATATTTTAATCAATCAAAACATTATTATAGTGGGAATAACCTACTGTACATTTTCGCGAAAATAATATGACATATCAAACACTATAATATCGTTGAGTGAACACCTTAATCAATGATAATACTATAATAAACGTCAAAAAACAATCTTTTGAATACCACTCAAGAGTTAAATAAATAAAACTTGTAATTAGGCAGTTTTCGAAATATCAGTCAAATTATTTTCAATTTATCTAACGCACTACTGATATTAATGTTCTTGATACACGATTGCACGATTTCAAACCCCTCAGAATATGCGAGAAATAAGTTTTATTGTCTATGGTTAATTTGTTATTTTGGTTTTTCTAAAAATTTTGGATTTTTTTGATAAAAATAATTTTTGGCTAATTTCGTTCATTTGTCATTTCTTAAAATTAATCGTTTCAAAAATTTTTTAAGAAACATTTTTCAAGGCCGTTTTAAGCATTTTTAATACATTTTCGAAAGTAAAAATTAATGACGAAAGATTTCTACCTACCGCGATAATAACATTCATATGTTGTAAAGAAAATAAAAAATGAACGGAAAAAAAGCAAAAACTTTTATCAGAAATGACATTTTCTGAGAAATGTAAAATATGTTTTCCCTCTTTGTAACCCCACCTACATACTGTAAATCGAAAATAGGTTACTTTTTGAGAACACAAAGCAGGTATGTTTTTTAGAAATAAGTTAACGCATATGGGTTGTGGTTTTAAAAATTAAGACTTTTTTAACATTAATTAAAGAAAATAGTAAAACGAGAGAATACATTTTTTTAAATGGCGGTGTTGATGTAATCTTAAAATTGTGATTATTGGCTCAAATGTGAAATAAAAAACAAGGATCTGCAAAATTATAAAATTACCTCTTACATTTTTTGTTTTTTAATTAAACACTTGATATTAGAATTAAATATTTAGTTAATTAAAGTAAGAACCATAGTAGCCATGTTTTGGAACAACCTGTTCAATTGTCCACTGCATTGGTAATAAATAATACTACAATAAATGAAAACTTGGATAAAACAATCTTAAAATCAACTTTTTTATCAAAGGATGCCACTTTTCATTTTTTGCGATAACTGTATAACTAAATTAACCAATCACAAAAGAACATGACTTGACATGGTTTACTAGATACATAACAAGATAACAGCCCAGTTAAATAGCAGAAGTGGTTAAATGATTTTAAAAAATATTAAATTATTAATAATAGTGTTTATATTGGTGAAAACAAAATAATAATTTGTGCACACTATAAACTACCTACCCAAATAAATATAAGATTTATTTCTTATTAGTAGAGTTTACATTTAGGATATTTCTAAAAATATGTTAAATGGAATGATGGATAATAATAATTGAAAAAATATGATACAGTAATAACAATGACAAAACTGATTTACCAAAATTTATTTTGGCAAGAAAAATATGCTACTACAGGGCTTACCAATAATAACGTCTGAACTTTAAAACATCCTTTATCATGTATCATTATATTGTACCATAGTTAAGAAATCGTTTAAACAAAGTAGAATTCAATTTGTTAGTAAATTTTATTAGCCAAAATGCCAATCCACAAGCAATACACGATGCATAGTTGATACTTTTTTTTAATTTGAAAAAAATCTATATGAAACGGGCTATCGTGAATAAAAAAAAATTGGGAGAATTCCAGCCTGGTAAACAATTCCACAACTCTTGATGTCCCTGAAGCCAACATTACGTTTGACATAAAACTGGTGGCATACAACTGCGCCAAGTAACTGACAATAGAGGTTATTAATCTATGACAATTGGTATAAATTAATCACCTTGTAAAAAAACGCGGTGCCCACTTGAATAATATTTTGTTTAATTCAAAATTTCATAAAATATGCTCAAAAACCATTTTCACTTGTTTTCTCCAACCAAAGTCGTTTTATTTATTTTTAAAGTTGCCCTATTGGTAAACCCTTTACAATAAATTATAAGTACTGTATTTTAACAGAAAATTGATTTAATTTGACGCAGTTATTCAAATATGTTTAAAAAAAATTGATTTAAATGTTTTAATTTTATACACAAATAATTATACAAAATCTTTTTATACCAAACTTACTCTTATCTGAGTGAATGATTGTTTCTCATTTTGAGTTCTGACGATAAAACATCCGGGAAGAAACATTTGTGCTGGCAAGAACCAGCTGTTTAGCACCTTAAGGAGTCTTTTAGGTTAAAATTAAATTAACAATATAATTAAAGACTAGATATTCATTTTTTAACCATAAAACAAAAACACTTAAAAATAATTTCATCCAAATTGCTTATCATTATTACACAAGTTCACAATTCCGTGTTTATGTTGTAACAGTGTCGTCATAATCTCGCACATTATTTTAAAAGCTGGAAGATCATGATTTAAAACATAAGTATGGCATGATTGATTAATTATAAACATATTTACATTAATTAAATAACTAATTGGTTGAATTGGCTAAACCTGAAATTTATAAAACATTCCCAAAACACTTAATTGATAATATCCCATGATTAGTTATTGTGACTAAAGTCAAATATCATGTGTTTCCATTATAATCAGTGAAAAACCAACAAAAATTAAAAAACAAATGGCCATTGGTGAATAACAAAAAAATTCACTGTTGGTTTTTTCATAAGCTTTTTTGCGAGAATTTAATAAAGTTCAACCATATCTCTTTGATTCACAAATAACGGGAAATCTTTTAAATTAAGAAACCGACAAAAAAGACAATTAACTGGGACTTTCTGTCATATCATGATCGTTCTTAGAAACGATCATAGGCTCAGATGTCAAAGCTCTGCTTGGAGACGGGCTATCGACATTTCTGAATGTAAAACCTGGGGAGTCGGCACTGGATAAAGATTCGGGTGTGCCGACTGAGCTCAAAGACCCTGAAAAGAAAAAAATATTGTTAAAAGAGATTTTACGCGAAAAAACATCAGTTTTTTGTTCTTTTTTAGTTTTTTTTTAAATGTTTTTATAAACTAATATAAATATAAAAAAAAGCTTAGATGAGTGGGTGGCCGTGTCAACTGCTATCTCTCCTAGCGCCACCAAGTGGCGAAAACAAACAGCTCTGAGTTCTGTCAAACGTCAGATTGTTGAAATTAATATTCAAAAACAGGATACTATCGGGTTTAAAAAATACAACACATACTTAATTATTTAAATATTTAAATATAACTAATTGAGGATATATATCTGTCAGTTTAAGCAGGGGCGTATTAATTATACGGGGCCCCCGGCTAGGGGGGGCCCCGATTTTTTTCGACATGCGTAAGCAAAGACATATTACCCACATATTAAAAAAATTGAGGCATGAAATTAAATAAATAAATAAAGAATATTATTATTTAATTGTTTATACTTCGATTTAATAAATTAAAATTTTGTGCCCGCACCTTAAAATTCCGCTATGCGTTGTCTGCGCATATTGTTCTGCTGCATTGAGTCTGCTTTGCGTGTTGTTATCATAGGTTATGCTATATTAATAGCAAATTAGAAATAATTATTAGCGTTACAAATATTTAAAATGACTTCCCTTTATTTTAAAATAGAAAACTTTTAAAAGATGTTGAAGAACTGTAAATGTCTAAAACCAGACCAATTTGCCTGTAAATAAAAAGCTATGTATACATATACAGGGTGTTATGTAATTAATGTTATATATTAAAATGGGTTGTTCCTTAGGGTCCATAAAGAAGCACCTGAAACTTTTTTTCTAAATTCCAAAGTAAAAATAATTTATAATAACCTTTATCCTACCAAAAAGTACGCCACTGATCGACTAGGAACTTTAGGTTAATCTGGTGGATTTATTATGTTATGGTTGGTAACAACAGTATTTCCAAAATCTCTCAAAAAAGTTGACAAACATTGTTTAAATTTAGTTTAATTACAAAAATGACAAAATTAACAATGCAAATTTTCAATTTGGCGTTTTTATTAATTGTTGGTTATGTCATTTTTGTACTGAAGGTAAATTCAAACAAAATCTGCCAACTTTTATGACAGAATCTAGTGCATTTCTTTTAAATTTTAGGTTATGTTTTCAAATTGTAAATATCTTAACTAAGGGAAGTGCTTTTGGATTTATTTACACAAATTAAATGTTTAAAGTTTAACCTGTGAACTGGTCCCAATTTCATCTGAGTAAACAGAGAAAAAAACTGATGAAAAAATAAATTTTGTGGTTACGGATTTCAAATTTCAAAGGTACTAAATTTTCTAATCATTGCTTAAGCTAATAGCTGGATCAGTAAATAAATACAGAAGGGTATTAGAGCTTTAAGGGCATAAAACTTTTGTATTTATTGAGTTTTTATTTATTTTTTGCAAGGTTGGTATCTATGTACTCACAAAATACAAGTGTGCAGATAAACCAAGTACTTTATAACATATGAAAATCATGCAAAACTCAACATGCATTATTTAAAAGTATGAACTCAATTTTTTGGAGTCGCTTTTGCGAGATGGTAGGAGCGTATAATGATTCATTGTAATGATATAATTATTTTTGTGTCCCGTTTTTTTTTTACAGAGTCTGACAACCTATCTTAAGAATGCCAACTTAAACTAAATAAAACGGTCTTAAAAATGTGAATTTAGGCAAGATTCAACTGTCTAAAGAATGTAAACTTAACACCTTGGGTAGGATTTGTTTCAATAAACCCAAAGTCTGAAGAAATAAAAAATAGTTGTTTAGTACTGTGTGCAAAAAAAATGTTGCTCACCTGGCAGTGAACTAGGGGTGGTGGTTAATAGGCCTCCTCGATCCACAGAATAGCTGTGCACCCTTTTAGCTCTAGGGCTCATGTGATAATCCAATTTATCATCATCCAATTTTCTCTTTGCACTTATCAGTGGGCTTGGCCTTAGGACTGGAGAAGCACTTCGTCTAAAAATGCTTCTTGTTGATGTTCGTGTAGGGCTCTGAAAACCTGGAGAGGTCAGCCTGGTGGGTGATGGAGAGTTGCAGTTTAGACCATAGGGAGGTAAGTTTACATGCAATGGTCCCATTTTTCCGATTTTGTTTGCTTCACTTTGAGATTCATTCATTATGCTCAAATCTTCCCAGGACTGAGATATTTGCATGGTGTGATGTATTTCTCTTTCGTGGGCCAACTCTCTTAGATTGCTCACATCAGCGTGCTCTTCTTGTCTTAATTGGTTGATCCGGGGGGTTAGACGTAAACTTGACACCTTAAAATTAAATAGTAGGTAAAGACAATTGCAAAGTAGATTTTAAAATAAAGTTTTTGAAGGATTTCTTGAATATGTACATCCACTTCCACAGGCATCAAAATTTTTCAAGTCTTAAGACTGTAAACTTAAGCTAGATAAAACTTTCAAAAAAATGTAAATTTAAGTAGGATATAACTGTATTACAAATTTATGCAAGATATAATAATAGAACCAATTATTGAGATTCTAGAGTTTTATCTAGCAAGAGTTATTGCCTTAAGAATTCTTTAAATTCTTTAAATTTAAATTGAACAAACTAGATAAAAACTGTTTTAATATTCTAAATTTAAGATAAATATACCTAATTGAAGGGGCAAGTAGATAAAGTGGTTAAGCTATATTTTTAATAATAAAGGATACATATTGTAATTGCAATACCAAATTTATTTAGTATCATAACATTGTCTGTTCTTTTCCAATTTAAATGTTATTTGACACCTTCTATTAAAATACTAGAGTCTAGAAGTCTAGAATGTTAATATAAACTTTTAGATAAAACTGTCTTAAGAATCTTAACAGACATACCTAACTGATTAATTTAAGCTAGATATTGTTTAAAATGGTAGTAGTAAAAACCAAATCTCCTACATAACCATTAATTACCTAATGTTTTTAAAAAAAGTTTTACCACAGTGGATTGTGAGCCTAGGATTGTGAGTTTTACCAACATAAATTGATACATGCATTGAATAACATTCCTTTTATTAAAAAAAGTAAAAATATGTAAATGAATCTTTACGGGTGAGCTGGAAGTTTATCCAGTGAGCCTAGTAAAGATTAATTGCAAAGCGTGACACGTACTTACTTTGATTTTCACCATAGATCTAGGTATAACGATTTTCAAATTTAAAATTTCAAATGTGTCATTTCATTAATTGCTTTTCTACTAGCCTGTAAAACATTACAGGTCTTTTACTTGGATACAAAAACAACAAAATTAACCTATAAAATGTAATTTACTAAGAATGTGTAAATAAAAATATAAAATTTATTATCACACTGACCATACCTAATTACCTGTCACAATGTTATTTGATGCATGTATCAAAATATGGATTTTGCTAATAGGCAATGGCCCCATTATGAAACTAAAGTTATAAGAACCAAACAATTAAAAATAACAGCCTATAGTATAAAGTATTTTTTTAAACTTACAGGTGAACCAGGTACTGGGCTAAAACTGGCACTGAACCTCCTTGTTCTGGGCTGGCTTATGTTTTGAAATATGTTAAAGGGCTGAGGATCCCTAGAAAAAAAGAAAGACATGTTATTAACCAGTCACTGTATATTTTTAAGGGTTTTTGTTGTTGAAAGAGTTGGGTTGGGACGATATAATTGGTTATTTAATTTTCTTTTGTTGTCAATCTTGCTTTATTGAAAATTGTCAATATTGACAAGTACCTATGATGTCTAATTTCTCCTGGTTAACCTAGGGAAAATGGTGTGATTTGTGTTAAAACAGCAACATCAACAATGATAAACTGCAATTTGGCCATGTTTAAATGTAAGTAACAAAAGGCAAAACAAATAAAAAAATGATTGTACAATTATACAGAAAAGTTTAGGGCATTTAGGTCCTTGTTAAAAACGTACTTTTATTATTAATTAATAATAAAAGTACGTTAATGTTAATCATTTTCAGTAAATGTAAATCAACAATGGTTAAAAGTTATTTTAAAATAAAAATCTTTTTAATATAATTTAATAACCTAAAAAAAACTTGACAATTTTTAAACCGAAACGTAAATTTGGCAAATCCAGGAAATGCATTGCCTTTCCCCCCAAAAAATTGTAATTTCCTGTCTTTCACAACAAAAAAAACGTCAAATATTACACTGGGACTCAAGATATTAACAAACCTTGCTGTTGAGGTTGATGGGTTTGCCGTGGTCATATTGGCATTAGTTTCATTAATCATGGGAGCGCTAGAGCACCTTTTTAAAGTACCGGGTCCGTTGGATGGAGTGTCAACGTCCATAGCTACAGACTGAGAATTTATTGATGACATTCGGTATCTCTGCCACCAGTCGTTTAATATTTAAAGGGGACATTTGACTCTCACAACACGAATTATTTACACAACCGGCTATTACACTGGCCCGTATGAATATGTTGAAAATTGCACTAGAACACGAAATTACGATTTCACTGTTTCCATCTAATCTGGCTGCGAAAAACTTTTTAAGTCCTGTCAAAAAGCTTTGCCATGAACTTGATTGCGCATGCCTTTAAATCCGGGCCCGGATTCGTAGCTCATCTACCCACCGATAGATGGCTTGTTTTTAAAACAAAATATAATTCGATTACCTTTTAAAAAATAACAATAAAAATTACTTATGGACGTTGGGTTAATCATAGCATAAACCATAAACAATTTGTACGGTGCAGTTTTTTTTACAAAAAATATATACTTATATACCGTCCCAGATTAGGAGGGACAGTTAACTGTTATAATTATAACGTTTCCGCATTTTATCTGATGCTTAAAAAGGTCCCGCAAGTCCCTGATTGCTTCTAAAATCTTTTATAATCTGTGTTTAATTCGTCCCATATATACTCAACCTTGATTTTGTCAGCATTCTATATTCTATAGATTATATTTTATTTTGCGTAACCCTGAATAGGACTGCTACACTGAGAAAAAAATGGGACAAATAAACTGTGTAGCTAATACTTTTATTAATAGTGAATATATAATAGTCGAAATAATAACGATAAATATACTTTAGTAAAACTTTATGTGTCGGAAATAAAAATATATTTAGGATAAATAAACTGTACCCTTGTCCCATACTTAAATATTTTTTTAATTTGGAGCAATAAACTTTTTTCTCAGTGTATTAATTACAATTCAAAATTAAATTAATAGTAGATTTTGTAGCTGCAGCCAAAGATAATACACTCCATAGATTGGAAACTGCACTAGCGCTAGCGGCAAAAGGCTAAAGTAAATTAACGCCATCTAGGTCTACAATACCCTTAGCAATGCCAAAAATTGAAGTAGATTTCTGTAACATATTGGCGGCAAATTTGAATGTTGATGCTTAGTAGGGTGCCTTTGTATATTGTATTTACTGCTGTATTTTAAATAAAACAAGTATGAATATAAGATTTATTTATTGTAGTAATAATAATAATAAAATACATACATCTTATGTACATATTAAATACATAATGGGTATACATGAACAATGTTCATTGAACATGTTTTTGTTTGGGGAGTGTAAACCTAAAAAATATTTGTCTTAATTCTTCAATATTAAGAGAATATTGCAAAATTTGGTAATTTAGTCCAGGCTACTTATACATATACATATAGGAATTTGTACAAGGCTTTTGAGTGTGGACTTATGGCAAGTTCTAACCAACCGTGAAAAATTCATCTTGCCAACTCTTGGTTTTGAAACAACCATAAGTAGCCTGGGCTTGGCCTGGACTAAATTACCATTAAACAAGCAATCCTAAATAATTCATAATTAACAAACAGCATTTTTACGCTAGAGCGATACTGCCGAGCTTAGCCAAAAAGACGCAACTCCACATTTTTACTTTATAAATTATAGCGCTTTATTTTTTTTTTCATAAGATACGTTCAATTTAATTAGAAATTTTTAGGAGATATACTTAAAAATGTATGTATAGTTGCGTCTTTTTTGCTAAAAGAATTACTGTCTGTCCACTCTAAGTTGGCTGAACTAAGGAATTTTGTTGTTTAGATATTAAAGAATTGTCGTACTGTGTGCTTCTAAAACAGATTTTATATTATAAATAATACTAGTATATAATATGTACTAGTATTATTTATAATATAAAATCTGTTTTAAAAGCACACAGTACGACAATTCTTTAATATCTAAACTACAAAATTCCTTAGTTCCGCCAACTTAGAGTGGACAGACAGTAATTAATTAATTAATAATTAATTAATAATAATAACGAGATGAGTCTTTACTTACAAATTGGTTACATTTCCGCACCCAAAAAACATACATTTCACAACCATTAACACGTTTTATCACTTTTAAGGCGCAAAAATGTATTTAATAATTCAAAAATTATGATTGACATCAATAATTATGATTGACATTGACATTTGAAAATAGCGTTTGTACAGATATCTGCAATTAACAAATAGATATAGTTCAGGTATTGTAGCTCTAGATGGCAGTGGTGGGAGAGTTTCCAATCTATGGGGTGTATTATCTTTGGCTGCAGCTACAAAATCTACTATTAATTTAATTTTGAATTGTAATTAATACACTGAGAAAAAAGTTTATTGCTCCAAATTAAAAAAATATTTAAGTATGGGACAAGGGTACAGTACACATGTGGCACTCAAAAAACTGATCTAAGGTGTCAAGTTTTACAAAATTATAAAAATGACTAGGTATATATACCTATATCTCAAAAACTAACGATTTTTTACTAAGGTCATATTTTGATTTTCTGCTTAGTCATGAGTTGGTCTATCAGTCCTAAGGATATCGTTGACTTTTGGGACACCCTACATGTATATGACATAATGTATTATATGTACAAAACAAAATAAATATACAAAATTGTTTTCTTATAGCAATGCATTATTAATTTGTATTACCTGTTTTAACCTTTATAAAGGTTTAATTAAAAGGTACTTTTTCACATAACACTGTATTTAATTGATATTGTGTTAAAATAAAAAAAGCAATATAAAATATTATTTATTCTTAAATTTAGTTTACAGAATCCTAAACAATATATTGTTTTATAAATACAAACCTATATTAAGTTAAACATAAGTATATTTTTAAACTTTATTGTTTAGGTTTCTGCTTCTGAAATGGAGGGTTTCTTCCACCTTGTCCACCAGCTTTGCCGCCTCCTCTACCACCACCAAAGTTGCCTGAAAAAAATATATTTTAAAGATATAAATTTCACTGAATGGGTAAATATTACCTCTAGCCGCAGGTCTATTTCTTTGATTTTGTCCCCCTTGTCCTCCTCCTCGTCCAGATTTCATATCACCTCTTCCTCTATTTTTAACAATGGTTTCTTCCTTAACCATGTCTATTACTTCATCAGGTATACGAAGGTATTTGATTGTGCTACCACGAATGTAACATTCAGGCATTCTCCAGAACTTATCACCATCCTAAAAAAAACTAGTTAAGAAAATTTTGACTAAATAATTAAAACTTACTCTTGAAGTGCAAATAACTTCTCTCAAATTTATATTCATCCAATTATCGCAGCTAACCAAGTGTCCGTTATAAGTTTCACCATTTTTTAACTCCACCAACTAAAATTACAAAATATTTATAAAAATCCACAAGTGTACAAAATAAGATTTACCATAGGGTGGTTCTGAGCAGTTCTTAGCAAAGATAAGGGTAACTAAAAAAATATACATTAATAAATAAGGTAATAAGAAATATCATTAAAACAAACCATTTTTTCAAATTTTAACCTAGAAATATGAGAAACGTCAATATACCGAATACATACAGAAATCTATTTTATCAATTATATATAACTTTTTTACAGGTTTCTGTTTTAAGGGGTAAGTTATTTTTTTTATTAAAAAATGTAAATTTTTGGGAATTCGACCGGCTGAACTTCAAAGGGCGCGCCCTGAAATTAACAAAAGAGGACGTTGCAAATTTTTCAGACAGAAAAACCAAGTATTTTTGTCAGAAATTCCTATTTTTGTTTGGAACACTTACAATTTTGACATATATGTATATATATATTTTAAAATATAAGTTTTATAAATGTTGATACGATTTAAAAATATATATATATATATATATATATATATATATATTGAATTTAGCACCATGCAAAGTTCGATATAAAATTTTTTAGTTTGAAAAGTCCCCGAGCGATGGCGCTGCCTGTTCATGAATTCATATACTTACGTACTGTCTGTCCACTTTAAGTTGGCGGAACTAAGGAATTTTGTAGTTTAGATATTAAAGAATTGTCGTACTGTGTGCTTTTAAAACAGATTTTATATTATAAATAATACTAGTACATATTATATACTAGTATTATTTATAATATAAAATCTGTTTTAAAAGCACACAGTACGACAACTCTTTAATATCTAAACAACAAAATTCCTTAGTTCAGCCAACTTAGAGTGGACAGACAGTAAGTATATGCATGAATTTTGTTTGTGCATTAATAAAGTATTCGAATTTAAAAAATCATCATTTGCACCATAAAAAATATGATTTGCACACGTATTTTTTAGATAACGGGCCGTTATTAACGGCGGTTGATTTGTAAATTATACGGCTGTTATTACAGTGGTCCATCGATATTATTAGGTATTTAAATTAATAATTAAGTAATATGTTTTTAAAATGCAGTGCTAGATTTTAAGTAGCATTGCCAGATTTTAAGTCGCACTGCCAGATTTTAAGTCGAACTGACGGATTTTAAGTAGCACTGCCAGATTTTAAGTTGCACTGCCAGATTTTAAGTCGCTCTTACAGATTTTAAGTCGCATAGTATACATACCTACGTTATTTTTAGAAGTTTAAAAGCATTATTAGCTACATTTTAAATACTTAATACATTTAAAACGTTTTGGCGATGTAGCAATGCATAACCAAGACGTTTTAAACATTTTTAACATCTTAAAGACATCTTAGCGACGTTTAGCAACGATTTAATAATGCCGTTAAAACGACATCTTAAAGACGATGTGTTTTGTAACATTGGATATCTTAAAGACGTCTTAAAGATTACTTACGTCGTAAACTGGACGTCTTAAATATGTCATAAACGTCCGAGTCCGACATCTTTAAGATGTCTCTGTGCTATCTGGGCTGGAAAGAAAAAAAACAGGGCTTTTCTAAATTTCCGTAAAAAACTTATTATCACTCGTGCACCCTGTATATACTCAAAATGTAAATTTGAAAAATATTTAAATAAACGCATTATTACAGAAGAATAAACCTACAATTTAATAAAAAAATCACCAAATTCGGTTTGAGGGTTAGCGAGAAAATCAACTTTGAAATTGTGGCAAATTTTTAGTGGTGCGTTAAATTTGACGCAAAGAGTAGGTATTATAAAAACAAAAATTATGAAAAAAAAGTGCCGATATAGATATTTAAAAATAAAGATACGTTTTTCTGAAAAATGTATAACTTTTTTGGTTGGGTATAAAATTCAGAAAATGTTTTTTATGGGGTAGCAAAAGATAGAAAGTTTCAGCCAACGTTGACTAAACTCGAAAGGAGTTGGGGTCAAAAGTGGTTGATTTGGTATGGAATGGGGCATATAAATTTTAAATGAATTTAATAAATTTTTATACTATATATGTATATAGGTAGGTACTATAATTTTTCACTGCCCACCCCAAAAAAGAGTATTGCTTCAGGTACCTCCTAAGTTTTTCTTCATATTTTTTAATTTAAATAAGTGCATCTTGTTTCAAATAAATTCTAGTATAGGTTTTCAATTTTATTTTTTGAAAAAAACAAAAAACGCACCAGGTGCGTTGTGGGCACTGGTTGAGTGCCTATAAACGCGCCCCACGCGTTCTTGTTAATAAAATGGCAGGGTTCGTAGCGACCGGGAAAACCGGGAAATCCGGGAAAAGTCAGGAAATATAAAATGAGTCTAAAAAGTCATGGAAAAGTCAGGGAATTTAAAGAAAAAACGAAAAGTCAGGGAAAAGTCAGGGAATTATCTGTAAATAATACTTAAAATAATAATAATATAAAAGAAAATAATATTTACCTAATACCTACACAATCTACATTATGATTTAATATAAATGAAATTCTTGGGCAATTTTAATGTAACTACCTAATCGTTAACTGTCAGTTTGTCTTTGACAAAAGTCAAAGTAACATTACAAGTCTTTCTCGTAATTGTGAAAAATTGTTTAATATCGGAAATCAAGGTTCTGGAAAACAAAAACCAAAAATTAACTGAAGGAACCAACCATGAAGTGGACAGTATCAATAGACGTCTACAAATGTTGAAAGAAAAAGTTTAAAATAGTTATTTGACTTATTTTTGTATTTTGTTTTGTTTTTATTTACGAGAAATTTGCTCTATGTTTTGTTATAACTGTTAAGTTAAATTTTAAAAGATCTAAAAAAGTTTTGTTTTTGAATTACTTATGTGACCTGGACTACGGAAAGCTACCTATGGTTAGAAATCAAGTTTTTGAAAAAACAGCTGTTAAAGATAACAAGTACTGTCCGTGCGTCGCGTTTGTATTTGCGCTTCTACCTTTTCTTTTTTTGTCTTACCCTTGGCTCTCCACCTCTCTTTAGACTTCCATTATACAGTGGTGCTTTTACAATAAATCGCTCATTCGAAACAACAATGACACAACTCAAAAATCACAGTTTTTGAGAAAACGCATTTTAAATTTGTTATTACTGTTTTCCATTAACCAAGCCGGGCTCAAAAAATAAAAGCTGGGCTCAAATATTTTGTTGTTTAGGCATACTCTCTAAAAAACAGTAATAAGAAATTTAAAATGCGTTTTCTCAAAAACTGTGATTTTTGAGTTGTGTCACTGTTGTTTCGAATAAGCGAAATATTTTTGTACCTAATTCAAGTGATTTCCCCTAAATAGCTAATTTTGTGAACGTTGGAATAATACGTGCTGCTTTTCTTATCATTGTATTTTCAAGATCGTGGTTTTTCGTTGTTATGCAGCTAATTTAAAGTTGTTTTAGTTTGTGAAAGTGCATAATGGATTTAGAAAAAGAATTTAAAGCAGTGGAGAAACAATGTTTTGCGGATTGTGATGAAGATTACGAAGATCAAGGTGAAGGTGCTGGTGTTAGTGACATAGAAGATGACGTTGTACCAGATATGTCTCTTCAGAATATTGACGAAAATAAAAGATCAAAAAAAGCAATTCTTGATCTATTTATAAATTTTTTCGCGATTTTTATAATTCATGTTGAACTTTAAGGATGATTTCCAGCAAAGGTTTCAAACTTAGGAGTCTGCGGTATGTTCCATTAAAAAATACATAAATTTTTTTATAAATTTCGATCGGCTGACACGGAATTTTGAATGGCTTTCGTCCAGTTAATATTAAAATCTTAACTTCCTTTATGGCCAACTAACCTTATTTCCGGTTATCACTAGGCTTGTCGTTTTAACAGCGAAAGCTGGACAACCAAATTATAACGTTCAAAATTCTGTGTCCGCCACTGTACCTTTCTATAGTCCAGGTCACATATAATATGAATTATGCTATATGTATTTATTTTTACTTTTATGGTCCGTTATTAAAGCTGCAAAGTATAAATTCTATTTTTTATTTTTTTCCTATTGAAATTGAATATCAATATCAATTTTGACACCTTCCACGGTCTATAGAAATATAGAAAATATATATGGAAAAAGCTTGAGAAAGTTCTGGAAAACCTGGAAAAGTCAGGGAATTTTATACGGATTCAATAGTATGAACCCTGAATGGAAAAATCTTGTAAAATAATGTTATTTATTATTAGCGCGGTGTGGGCATATGGCCGCAGTACTTGTAAACGCGCCACGCGCGTTTTGGGCAGTGAATGTGTTAACGAATATTATGGTTAATGTATTATTAATTTTCTTATTTCATAATTTATATTCCTATACTTTTTATATTTCTTTATATTTTATATCAATTTATCAATTGATTTAATTTCACAAAGCTTTTGTATTCATTTTTACATTACAACCATTGCGTTGTTTGGAATAAAATATAAGTTAAACATTTAATTTGATTTTAACTATTTAATAAATAATAAAACACATACATGAGCAATAAAAACAATATTTTTATTATTCTTCTATTCTAAACACTAATTTTTCGACATAAAGTCCATGGTCCCTATTTTTATGTATTATGACTTTAATTAAATTTTATATAAATGTTTTATGTTATTTTTAGTTTTTTAAATAGTAATTAATTAATTATTTAAGGAACTTTAAAATTATTTTTATAATCAACAATTACAAAATAAAATCAAAAAATCAATTTCGGCAGCCACGTTTTTGTCTAAAGCTTCATACAAAAAAATATTCGATATTTTAAAAATCGCTTGACATTTTTTGTAGATTAAAATTAGGAGAAAAAATTAGTATGTACTAAAATTATATAAATTAATTTATTTGTAAGAAACGCTTCGGTCAAAATTCTTCGATTAAACCGCAGAATTTTAGATTGGAATTAAAAAAAATTACAGTATTTTTTAAATTACAGCTTAATTGTAAATTTTGGATATGACTAAATTGAAGTAAAATTTTTGCTGTGTAAATATCACAAAAGATTCTAATATTTGTATTATAATACCTATAGGTTTATTTGTAGGCACCATTTGAAACGCTTTTAATGCACATACATTACGTAATGTATCATTATTTCTATTTAATATTCTTTTAGGATGAATTATACAATTTGCAAGATTTAAAACAAATATTCGTGGTATTTTTAAAGTTTAGGTTAAAAATATAAACCTTTACAAAGGAATTATTATTAAAATGTTGTATATTTTTAAATCTTAGTTATAAAATATAGATACAATTTTCAAAAGTCCCCCAGAAAATTTGCTGTTTTCATATATATATTAATAATATTGATATTTTCACAATCCACATGTTGTGTGGATTGTGGATATTTTGATATGTCAGACTAGATTTCAAAAATCCTGAGGTAATCTATTTATTTGCAATATCATTTTGCAAAATGGGCAAAACAACTTGGTAAACCACTTGTGCTAGAGACCTGAGTGTGGTGCACTTAAAAATAAAGTAAGACACGTCCGAAATTTCACAATCACGTTCCCTTTTTCGCCCATTTTAAATCGTCGTCCCTGGGCTTCAGACCGCTTACAGCTTCGATAAGGACTTCAAGTGCTGTCCAAAAGTGAAGCTTTTCCATGGGCCAGTTTAGCCAGCCCGTGGTTATGCAAAAATAGGTCTCGTGAGGTGCGACGTGATGTATTCTGTGATGTCTTCTCGGCAGGATGACGTGCATTTCTTGTAGAAAAACCACCCAACTGGGCAGGCCAAAATAAGTGTGGGACCATTTGTGAATCTACAAAAAAAAAATTGACAATCATAATTTAACAGACTTGTTTTATTCTAAAGTAATTTTTTAATTAAAAAAAATATAGTTTTCGATTAAAGAAATTGCGGAAAACGATTTGGGGCAGGAGTATGTGAACTAGTAATACAAATTTATAAAAATATTTAATTTTTTTAGCAAAAAGTTCAAGGGCCCCTTTAGTTCTTAGAAGAAAGTTTTTCAAAAAATTTTGTATTCAATAAAATAAATAAAAAAATGGCGCGCCGGAAATAATGTATTAAAAAAATATTTAAGTTCTTCTAAAAATATTTTTGCATTTTATAGAAAAATATTAAAAATATATTTTTCATTGGGTACTAAGAATAAATCCCAGTGAATTATGCGAACAAAAATCACTAAGAAACTGTGTTTAACGACTACTTATTTAAATTGTTTAAATAATTATCAAAATATTTTTTGTTAAAATTAATTTTAATTAATTCTATAGGATTTAATTTATTCTATAAACCTGTAATACTTGGATTTTTTTAATAAAATTTGAAATTTATCGATAAACTTCAGTGAATTAAATATTGTACCGATTTAATTTGAATTATCTTAATTTTGGGGGGCAGGAGGCTGGGGGGCACACTTAAAAACTAACTTTTTTTCGCAAACTTTAATTTAAATCCTGTTTGTGCAGAACTTGTCTATATAATGTCATTATAAACACATAAATTTGATGTGGATCCCATGTCTAATAACTGAGATATGGGTGTGCCCAAAATCCACCAGCCGCCACTGCTTTAATTTAAAGCCTTTAAATGTAGTAAACTTAAATCGCACCAAATATTTTTTATAGCTTTTACATTTGCATTCGCAATTTTTATTTAAAAAACTCATACATTTCAGTTTTGTAATATTACAATTATCACAAAAGGTTTAAGGGGATAAATTACCCCTGATAACACACTTTATTCTAAGAATGTTTTTTAAACCTTCAAGTGAGAATATTCTTAGGATCATGCTATGTTTCTTCTAAAGAACATGCTTAAAAGACATAAAGCATGATCCTAAGAATATTCTTACTGGTCTATAGGCAGGTTCTTAGAAGGTGCAGTTTTAGTGGTAGTAATTAGTCTACTCTAAACATATGTTTAGCATGTTAAGAAAGTAATTGCCATAGAAAGTTCATTTAGGAATATTCCTGTTAACCTTTTTTTTTTCAGTTACCTATATAATAGTAAAATATACCATAAACTACGTATAAAGGTATATACCTATACTTAAGTACCTAATTAGTAATTAGTATTAAATACTAAGTAAAAAACACAATCCAAAATATTTTTTTATAGTTATTTGTCAAATTAAAACAATATTCGATAATAAAAATACTTTTACTATAGGTATTTTATTTTATGTAAAAAATAAATATTTATTAATTTGTATACCGATTTTTTATTTCTGAATTAACATTTTTATGTATATTAATCCTAACTACCTTCAACTTCAATCTAATCTGATTTATCCCACAAAATTTTTCAATTTTACTTTTTATGAAATAATGTCATACAACTTATGGTTTAGAGGTCAAATTGTTTATTTAATATTTTTAAATAAATATATATTAATATTATATGTCGCAAAATTTTTTAAGGGGACGACAAATACATTTCACTGTCATTTTATGACAGTGAGGCGTATTTGTTGTCTCCTGAAGAATTTTACGAATGTAGAATACAACATATTAGAACGTGGGTATCTGACATATTTGGAAATATTCTCAAAAGCTTCCTAGAAGCTCCATAAGAAACCTCCCAAGAACATTCCAAAAACGTATTCTTAAAATGTTCTTAGGAAGTTAGGATGCTTTTTAGGAAGGTTTTAAGAAGCTTTTAAGAACCTAATTGCATCATTAAAAGGGTATCTATTGAATGTTTTAAAAGTCCCTAAGAACATTCTTAGCAATAAGGGAAGGTTCTAAGAATATTCCATTATTCCGGGTCATATCTTCTTAGAAGATTGTTAAAATCAAATTTTGCTATTAGGGACACCCAAAAAATTATCTGTTATCTGTCGAATGCGTCTATAGAAATATGTACCTGGTTCGTCATAGCGACAAATATAGCTAGTAAGAAAACATAACAATTCCATGTAAACTTCATCTGAACATCATCCTCAGAAAGCGTTATAAAATCCCATACCATCCTGGCAAGGAACGGTATAGTAACCATGAAATTATCACCGTTGGTTTCTATGAAATCGTGCCGGGTTATTGAGGTTGGGTCGATGTGGTGTTCACGGAATGGACGCAAGAAGTTCTGAAAAAAAAATCGATTCAGTATTAATTTAATGGCTTTGCTTTAATGTATTTTCGTAAGTAGGTTAAAAAACAGTTTAAGGTATAAACTACTCCCAGACATTTCTCGACTTCATCTGATACTTTTTAAACATGCTACATTGCCTGAATAAAAAGTTTGTTAACTTATATAAAGGTAACAAAATTTTATAAAGTAATTGGATACAATTAACTACATACTTTCATGAATATTTAAAGGTAAGTACCCCCATCCAACATCTAGGTCAATAAACAAAGGGAAATGAAGAACAAATAAAATACCCAAATACTACTTTGGCAAATTTTATACAAAATTATTACTGCTCCAAATGCTCCATCACACATTTCTAAATATTTGTTGCAATAGTTTAATGCCCATAAATACAAAACATGTTCAATTCAGGTCTTGCCTTTATATAATTTGTTGTTCAATGTGATTTATTAATGTTAAAAAAAATTCAGTATGATATTCCTTGCTTTAAAATAAGAAAAAAATTAACTGGTTCCGGGAAACGCTTTGTTTCTCAGATAAAAAATGCAATTTTTGTATACAGTATTTAGTTTTACTAGATTAAATTAAGCGAAAATTTGGAAAATTAGGTATTTTTTATGAAATTAAATAAATTTATGCTGAGTTAATAACGGTTAATTAACGATATAATAAAAAATAATTTATTATTTGGAATTATTGTTTGTTTAAAAATATTGTTGTTAAGTAAATTAGCATACATTTTAGAAAATATCTCTAGTAAAATTTGACTTATTTTATAGACCACAGAATCAAAATATTAAGTTTAAATATGTACATTGTAGAGGTGGGTCCATCTTTTAGGTTTTAGAAGATAATAAAAGAAATTTAACTTTTTTTTTAAACGAATAATAAATTTCACATTCTGCATGGGCGTAGTCAAAGGGGAGGCAGTTGGGAAGGCCAACTCAATTATCCATAAAATATCATTAATTCAAAAAATTGTAGGAAGCTTAGCTTCTGTTTTGAACGATTACTTGTTTTCTGAGTATTATAATATTAGTCCATATAAAAATACTTAATATTTGTACGCAATTCAAAACTACAATAATTGTAGTTTTGAATTGCGTACAAATATTAAGTATTTTTGTATGGACTAATATTATAATACTCAGAAAACAAGTAATCGTTCAAAACAGAAGCTAAGCTTCCTACAATTTTTTAAATTATTATTTAAAATAAGTGTTTTAATACCCAATATTGAATTTAGTAGTAGATTCTTGGCAACAGCCCCAAGACCCTTCATAAATTCAAAGATATGAAAATTGAGTCTTTTTAACTTAAATTTTAACCTTTTAGTAATTTCGTTTTTAAAATCATGGTCGTGTCCAATAAAAATAAATTTGATGATTGGAAAAAGTATTTCTCGAAAGTTTCATTGTCCCCACAATCCTCATATCTCCTACATTTAATGTACTGAAATTATTGATTATTGGTCCAAATATAAACAAATAAAACATTGTTGATATTACAAAAAATCTGAAAAGGGACAAAATTCCTTAAATTCAAAATTCCGAAAAAAATATCAAACTTTTGATATGCACGATTTAATATAGATAACAAAATTTGTATGAGCATTTGCATAAGGAATAAAAAGAAAAAAATATAAAAAAAATACAAACAGTTTAAAACAAGTGTATTTTTAGCTTTTGAAGAAAAAATGTGTTCGTCGGAATCGCTTGATTTAAACCGAAGTTATGATCGATGACCATATGAATAAAAATTTCAAAGACAAAAAAATATCACCTATAAAGCAAAATATTACACCTAATTGTTACATATTACTTTCTGAAGATAACCTGGTTAAAATTTTGTTTGGCTGTAGTTTTGTGAAATAGGCTTTAAATGTGATAATGCCAAATAGAATTATGTATACATAGCTATAGCTACTAGAATGTTTTTACAATTTATTTAAAAACAATTAAAAAAATTTATTTCCACCTTCTTAGTAAATGACACTTTATATAGGATAATTTTGTTGTTTTTGTATCCAAGTAAACAATACATTATGGGAACAGACCTGTAATATTTTACGGGCTTGTATAAAAGACCTGTACAGTTTAAAAGGCTTGCAGAAAAGCAATTTATAAAATGAAATGACACATTTCACACAATAATTAAAACTTTAAATTTGAGAATCGTTATCTAAAGGTGAAAATAAAAGTTTGTACGTGTCACGCTTTGCAATTAATCTTTACTAGGCTCACTGGACTCACTGGACTTCCAGCTCGCCCGTAAAGATTCATTTACAAAGCTTGACACGTAAATAACTATTAAAAGTCGCAATTTTGTATTAAAGTGTCCATATAACATGAAGAAAAAATATCTAGTTACCTTTCCAATTACTGGTAGCTCAATGGAGCCCCACGTATCCGCCGCCCAGTGCACAAAGCCAGACCCGAAATCGGCGGTGACAATTCCACAAAAGGCCGCCACCATAATGGCACTTAAGTTTTGTAGTTTTATATGGAATAGTATAAAAATTAAGTTAACAGCCATCAATGTCAAGCATATCCCAACGCATATGCATTCTTGTGTCCTTTTTCCTGAAACAAAATAAATCTGATTAGGAAATTAACTTGTAATAGTACGAGTTACAAATTCATCAAAAAATTATGCTTTAAGTTGTTTTTAAACAGACCATAGATTTTAAAAAAAATTCAATTTTTATTTTTAACGTTGTTTGAGAATTTTTTTCCCTCAACAAATTTTAATCTTAGCCAAAGGCCGCTGTTTGTCCGCCTTTGTTTAACCTATAGGTATATACTGAAATTGCCGATACCCTCGAATTTTTACCCCACTGTGCGTGATCCCCATTCATTTGGGGTTATGATGGGGACTTGATTGGCTAATATGCTGCCATCCTTGCGCCTCACTGTGCAGTGCGAAAATTTATTTACGCATGGGACGGTTATTTACCTAATTTATGGTCCCCTTAACATCTTAGTAATATACAGATGTTTATTTCTTTGGAGATTTCTTTTGCCTAATGTTTATCGTAACTTGAGTGATTAATGGCTTCTTATGTGTGCCGGATTTCGTATTAACTAGTATTAATATTATTGGGTATTATATGGTCATGCAATTTTGGTAACTACTTATCTAATTTATGCAGACTTGGACTTGGACGGGATAATTGCCAGGCAGGTGTGATGAAATTGATCCTTAACGCATGCCGCCCGCACGTGTGGTAGTCCAGGAAATTATTCATTGGAACTGATCGTCTCTATCACACCTTTTATCCAGGTAAAACACTTGAGGACTTAATCCCGGGGGAGGTACCACACACAATTTGCACTCTTTTGCACTTGGGTCAGTTATCACGTGTAGAATCGATATTGATTTTTTTGTTAACATCTGTCAAACGGATTTAACCCCACTTTCTCCCAGCCATTTTTTGTTGTATCCACGTTATTTTTATAGTTATTTTTATATTACATTTTTTGTAAGCTTTTTATATAATTTCGGTTAAAATATCTGAAAAGAATTGCTAGGAAACACTTTTTGACCATAATTTCCAACAGTATAAAATAAAAATATTTTTGAAGCCGCTTCTGGTATTTCGCGTGCGGTCGCCGCAACAATTTTGCATAATACAAATCCGTGTTAAAAAGTTTTTCACCTTTAGTAAAGTTGCACGGCTCATTAAGTTGATATCGTTACGATATAGGCGACGATGGCAAACACTCTATGAGTAATGAATATTATTATGCCGCTAGAACAACAACAATACTGAAAATTCCATTCAAGTAAAAAGTGACGCAGTTTCAGAACTTTATAATGGGCAAATAAAACCTGCACGCTATAGAGCTATTTCTCTATTTACATTGGTCAGAAATGCTATCTTTATTTGTTTTCAGGCATCATCCTAATTAGCTTTGCTATATGGTCGATAAAATTGTCATAAAATTCATGTATCATTGTTTTTTGCTTTCAACGCTAGAGTAATGGTTTTAAAATTAATTTGGGTATTCGAAAATTTATCATATATACCTAGGTAAAAGATTGTATACCTGCACCTTTCCGGGATAGAGATGTATCACCTCGTTCTTGCACCCTGCTTAACTCCAACAGGTAAGATTTTTCTGTTCTGCGCATTCGCCATTTTTTCAGATATGGCGAATGCGCCGGGATTAAATATTATAAAACCAGTTAAACAACTGTTTAAATCATTTTGTAAATTATTGAAGCCATATTTTGCGAAATGCAATTTGGTATGTATATTTCAAAAATTCATTAATTTTTTCTACTTGATCATTACTCACTCATTTTATAACCCAAGCCACTTGTGTGTAATTAATATTTAATTAGCCGTAACATTTAGCTGATTAAAAATTAGCAAAAACAAAGTGTGATAAAATTATTTTTTGTTTAAAAATATTACAAAACAAATTATAATTTGCTAATTAGGCTAAGGCTGAAAAAGGGTGAGGTGACTTATCGACAAACAAAGCCCAAATGGGACAAAATTAAGGTTCTAAAAATATGGACCAATGTCTGGTCGATGATTGTAGGTAGGAATAGGTCAATCCGATAGGTTGAAGTTGCATGAGTTCCGATTATGGGTAAAAAAATTTAATTAGAAATAATGAATTGGGAGCGATGCTATAGGAATAGGTAAAGATTTATTACAAAGGTAAGTTTTATTGAAGGATTATTTGAATAAGGCCTAATACTATGTGTACTAATTTTTTTTAGTTTGCTCAAGCACAGTCTTTTGTAGAAAATGGTATAAAACTTTTTATTTTAATGCAATTTTTTTAATTTATCTTTGGAAAAAGTTTTATCCCATTTTATTATTTTTTACATTTGATTATTATCATAAAATGTAGATGTGTAGATGTATGTGCAGCTCTAACAAAATTCGACGATTAAAATCTGCCCTTAGATTTAGTTTATTTAAAACCGGGTAAATGAAAACTGAACATTAGAATTAATGTGCAGGGCAATTGAACTGCCCAATTTTGAACTCATTTAAATTCAAAACTGCCCTTGCGTAAATTTAAAAAAATGGTGGACACATCCGCACGGTGGTTTAAAATTCGCACAGTAGGGTAAAATAAAAAATATTTAAAAAAATGGGTACAGTATGATAAATTTAAAAGACAAATTTGCATTGTTTTCAATGGGTTATTGGGTGGATTACTGTTATGTGCATCGATGGTTACTATTTTATTTTCTTCGTGTATTCACATTTTACAAGACATTACATTTACGCGATATTTTTATTTCTTTACTTGTAAAAAAAACTAACTACCTACTAACTACTTGTAACAAAACTAACTATTACTCTACTTTTATACCACTTCATAGCCATTTAAAAATGAGGTAACATTTTAAGCCTCCCCTAGAATCCCCTCGCCTAAAATCTGTCTGGCTACTGGCCTTATTTGGAAGTTAAAATACGATTACGGATTTGCAAGTTGGAGCAAAATTTAAAATTTTAATTAAAAAAATTATTACAGATTTAATTTTAAATTTGTCCATAAATTATAGTAGATAAAAAAATTGAAACCAGAAGTTAAGTATTGATTTCGGTATTAAAAAACGTGTCTTTAATAAAAAAGGAATTAATAACCGTGTTAAACAAAAATACTAGCTACACAAGTACTTTTTTAAACAGAAACTGTATTTTCTAAAGGTTTTATGCTTGATTAATCCAAATTCGACCTCATAGCAATAGGTTTTTCTAGATATTCTAAAAATGAAAAAACGGTGTTTAAAAGGACACTTAATTTTTTTTAAATTCTTCCTATTCTTCGAGAAATTATTTTAGGTACAAATTTTATAGAAAGAGTGGTTCTTTTAGATAGAATAATGAGTTCTGTGCAAAAAAATTTATGGCATGGACACTACTAAATTTTTATCCAATTCAATTATTTGTCAAAAATCATTAATTTAACCCATATTAAAACTTAAAAATACTTTTTATCGAATTACTTATTTTGGATTTTGTTTATTACTGTTAATAAGAGAAACCCCTTTTAAGAATACGCTTCTTTCGCCAGGTTTATTTATACTCAGAATCTAAAAATAGTAGTAAACTATTGACATAAAAATATTGACAGGTGGAAAAACAGACAGAAACGGCCCTGCATCTATCATTTTGTTGACATTTCATTTACTTATACCGAATTTAACCCATATTAAAATTTAAAAATACTTTTTATCGAATTACTTATTTCGAATTTTTTATTATAATAAAAAATCCGAAATAAGTAATTCGATAAAAAGTATACTGTCAATAAGGGAAACCCCTTTAAAGCAGACGCTTCTTTCGCCAGGTTTATTTATACTCTGAATCCAAAAATAGTACAACTTTACTATTAATATCGAGTAGAGTGACATTTCATATATACTGTCATTTGTAATTAGGTACCTTTTTAATAATTTTAGGAGGTTTAACGTTTTATTTAATATTTAGTTTACAAGACTAGCTTATGGCAAATGGGCTTTATCACAATATCTAACGTAAAGTTTCGCAGGTAAAAATATAAAAAGTTTTAAAAACATATTTTGAAATTAAATTACATTAAATTAAAAAAACTAAATTTTCTTTAATTTTTAACAAATTAAATAGGCCTACCTAAAACTACTGTCCGTAAAACTAAAGTAGAGTAAAATTTTACAAAAAACTGCCTTTTTTCTTATTGTAACTACGAAAATAAAAACAACACAAAATTTAGAGATTATAAACAGGATTTTTTATATAATCACCCATAATATAACATGGTATGATTATCATCGATGATATTTTCGAATTGAAACCGAACTGCAGATTTCACGAGTCTACAGGACAAGTGAAATGTGCTGCTTCGGTTTCAATGAGTAAATATCATCGATAATTAATCATACCACGAGTTTTATTTAGTGAGAAAATATAATGAATTTTAGGATTTAACGAATTGTCAGTTTGACATTTGAAATTAAAATGTGCTTTAAAATATAAAGACTTTAATAAACCTTATTTATTCAAACTTACCTTAATTTTATTATCGTTTACACCAACCCATCGATCTTTTAGAGTTTATAATTCATTATTTTAATCATTTAACAAACACAGTCAAATCAAGAAAAATGTCAAAATCCTTAGCAACGTGTAAACAAGGTGATAAAAAATATTGTCGCTGTGATAAAATGCGTAACTATGGAATACTGGCATTTTATTGGTTCTAATTATAATGAATTGTATTGTCATAGTAAAATTTGTATTGTTATTATTGGGGTTTTTATTAGAAAAATCAAATATTAAAAAAAACAGTTTTATAAAAGTGTTTTTTTATAAAAACTTAGTGTAAATTAAAGTGTTAAAGTAAATTATGATGTCTAAAACACCTAAACTATTGCGTACTTATTGCTTTTAAAATTTAAAAGTTAGTACAGGTGGTAGGTATAATCAATGTTTTGTAATTAAATTTTGTCTCACGTTTATCATAGAGAAATTTAAACCCGTTTACACCGGCGCATTTTCCATTTTTTTTAACTTTTCACGGCCTGGGGAACCTAATTAATAAATTACCAGCTATGACTGGTCTAAAGCCGCGAT